ACCTTTTTTTTTAGTTAAGTAAGTTTATTATTATTTTCATATTACTATATTTTTTTTATATTTTTTATTATAGTATTATCGTATGTACTACTTTTTTTTCTTTTTAGTACTGTCCTATAAAAGGATTGTATATCTGTTGGGCAATAAAAGTTATTTATTATTTATTATTATACTATTAATTGAGGCAAACACCTGAGACCCGAAAATAAATCCGTGTTATATCAAATGAATCTTTTTGGCACTTATTTTATTTGTCTTAAAATCCTAAACCTATCCTCTTTTTGTCCTAACTAAACTTGATTTGTCCTAGTTAAAATAGGACAAAGTTGTTAAGTTTTAAAAAAAAACTTAACAACCTTAATAATGTAAGGTTAAAAAAGAAACGTTGAACTTGTCTCACAATTTTATAATACCTGAACCTTAACCACCGATGCACTTCAAACAAGCGCCATAGCCACGACTGATAACACGAAAAACGAAGTAAAGAACACAATGAACCATATCCTTGACCCTACACCTGTTCTGTGCCCTACACCATCAAAATGTCTTCCTAGCCATCGGTTAACGGGTTTTAGAAACTTAAAGTTATACCTAGCAACTAAAATAATTCCTAAAATCAAAGACATGTTGACCATAAGATTACAAAGTGGTTGAATAGAACTGTCATCCTCGATAAGGAAGTTTATCAACAAATAAATATGGAAGGAAGGTTATTTTGTAGAGCATGTAGCAGTAAGTTAATTTTTCTATTGTATTGATAGTTCACGTTAATAAAATGTTACAGTTTACTTCCAATAAAATTACACATCTAAAACAACATGAAAAGTCGACTGAGTGTAAGTTAAAGGTTAAAAACTCGATTCGATAAACATTGATAAATTCTCAACATCCAAAAACCAAAGACACAGAATCCTTTTAAGAAATATGTCAAACATTAGTAGCTTCCAATATTGAATAGAACAACTTAAATAGCCAGCCATTTGTAAATTTCTTTCAAAAATATTGTGACAGGAAGATTCCCAACGAATCGATGTTAAGAAAGAATTATCACCCAAAATGCTACAATAATGTCAGAAAAAAGTCATTAATCATTATGTTGTAAACACCTGTCTCACTTGTATACATTTTCAGTTGAAAAAATTCGAACCGAAATTTGGAATTGCAGTATTTGGCATACTGTAGGTGAAACGACAGATCGCATGAGTAGGTACATTACCCACATTATGGTTAGTAAACTGACGGCTGAAGAAGCGGGTCAACCAGCTCTATTGGCATCAAAGCAGCTAGATAAAAGTAATAATTTACCTGTCACACCATTTATAAATGAATCGTTAGGTAAATATACTTCAAATACCTATGATGTACTAAAATTACCATTCTGAAAAATAATGTTTTTTAGGAGCATTATCGCCTAATGGTATTCAGTACATACGAGAAACTGAAACTGATTTTACCTATTGGACCCTCATACATGTTAAGATGTGGAATTAACTTAAAAAAATTGTACCCTCACTTTATGCATATGACTTGCATGGCACATGAATTAAATCTTGTATGTCAGACAATTATAACTCACTATGAAAATGTCGATGATCTTATATCAAATGTAAAAAAAATGTTTTTAAAAGCACTATTAAACTTATATCTTATCCATCTCTGCCAGTAGAAGTACATAGAAACACATTGCCTAGCATACCCCTTCCTCCAGAACCAATAGTAACCCGATGGGGTACTTGGATTAATGCTGCATTGTGGTGATATATAAGGGGTGAGTCTTGTTTGGTTTTACAAAATTGTTTATTAAAAAAAATGGGATTAACATTTCAGGTTGTTCTATCTTTTGAAGCTGCTGATGCTAAAGCTAAAGCTTTCTATTAGAAAGTCTTAGAAGTATTTTCGTCAATTCGTCCACTTACTTCTAAAAATGATTTATTGTATATATATTCAAATACATTTTAAGATTATAGTGAATAGTCGGTAAGAGAATCAATGGAAATAATTGAAGTTGTTAAAATTTCCTTAGAACCAGTTACTAAACAGGCACATTGAAAGATGGTTACGGTTCTAAATAAAAATTTTGTGGATTTAGTGAAAATAACAAACCTACTGGAAGGCAAACGCAAACATTGTTCAATGTGTTTCAAATTTTTCAGAGTTTAAGTTTGTTGCTATCGTGTCTTGTGATGTTAAGCCTTCTTTTTCCTGCCTCATATGGATTTGGGGAAGGCACAATGGGCCCAAAGGCAAAGCTTAAATGCCGACTGGCTACAGTCAGCCCTCATATAATTAGAATCCAGAATACAGAATCCTGGCTATATCATGTGCTGTCTGACAAAAGAACAAATTTCCAAGTAGAAAACATTGTTAGATAATTATGTTGATTTTTCCTATATTCTACAATAAAACGTGGCAAGTAAATCTAAAATGGCTGTCTTAATTTGATTTGAGTAAAATATCGGGATTTTAATTTATTTATTTAAAGTTCGATATCCCTTGCGTTGACTTTTTAGTTTTATTTGTTCTAATAATCGGTAATTTCGATTTATATGTCCTCTTTGAGAATATGTTGTAAATTTTTATTTGCCCTTTTTTTAAATTTTGAACGTCTTAAAATCCCGTCTTTAATGATAAATTAGTGAGTTTATATCGAATAAGTAGCTAAGTTTCAAGATACACGATTGGTTAGTGAACTAGAAGTAGAGAACTGAGAATTGATGGACATGAAAGAGAAGGTAAACAATTAATTATCTTATAAGTGATTCCTTCTACAACCTACAGACGCGATTTATAATGAGTAAATTAAATGCCGAAATTTAGTGATTAATTGGTTAACAAATAGTAAAGGTGAAAGGTAAAGATCTGACAGAATAACGTTTTCGCATTCCTAAAGCCTTAGATTATTAAATCCCCCAGACATATGCAATAAATTATGAGTAGTAGAAAGTAACCAGGATAGTATAAAAGTCTGTCGTAGATGTTTAAAATTCTATGTGTGGTTTTATCAAAATATTTGTATTCAAATAAAACACTGCTACACGTATTTTAGTACCCTCCACCGTCTTCAGGCAAACAAGCAAAAAATACTTGTTACTAACATTAGCAGTTGCTGTTTAAATAGGTATGTATATTTCTCACTAAATACGATTAAGCATTAATACGACCATTGATGATGTGACAAATTATTATTGTTCCGAAACTTAAAAGCTGATGAATCATTTTATTCAAGTATCTTACAATGTGAGTGAGTACATTTCAAAAAGTCAATACCATTAACTAATAGTATATACTATGCGGTCGTATAGTATACCTACTAGTTTAATAAGACGTTTTATTTTAACACGAGTTGGGGCAAGACCGTAGCGATGTCTTACCAAACGAGTACAATATATAATTTTTTCTAATTTGCTCATGCTTTGGTCACGATTATTGTTAAGGGTTTTTCGGACATGATCTATGTATTTATATGGTAACGCTGTGAAGTAACATTTGACGTTTGTGTGAAATTCAATTTCTAATTTCAAATTCATATTCATTAAAAAACATGTTTTATAAGGTCCATTGTTATCGCGTGAGTTCAGGCTTGTAAAATGAGCCACTAACGGCGAGTTTTACAAAAAACGAGTGTAGGCAATGAAAACAAGTTTTTTTTTACTATTTTTTCTGTTGAGCGAATTTAACGTACCTGTATGTGATGTTCTAAAAAACTTGGAACCAAGATTACAGTACAACTGTTACCAAAAACATTTTCGCAAAGAGTTCCATTCACAATGAGATTATTTTGAACGCAGAGTAGAAAAAGTAAGTGCTAATCGTTAGTGCAAGGTCCCTAAGGATTTATTATTGTTTCATTAACCTTTAATCAATAAACCCTACTCCTTTGAATCGGAGCTCGTGTTTGTGATATATCGACTATTCTTGAATCGATATTGTAAAGGTACGTTTTTCGTTGTGCGTTATGTCCGGAACAGCAGGGCGTGGTTTAAAAGCGGCACCTAGTCCCTGCCTACCCAAAAACTTGTGGTCATACCAAGGTCACTTCTTATCATTATATATTTAATTTATTGCCTCGGTCGAGTCGATGTATAAAACCTTTAGGAGCATTGTGATTCTAAATTTGGCGCAGTCGGTGGGCTAGAAGAAAATACGGAGTTGATCAAAATGTGTCTTCTTTGTTACAAGTTTCATTAAAAATAAAATTCCGAGGCGGTTTCGTCTACTCAAAACCCACTTCTGATTAAAACTTCGACAATAATGAATACGCAGCCCGAATCACATTTTCTAATAAAAAAAGCGGCGTAAAAGAGGTAGGGTTAGCCGAAGTTGTGGCGACGAGCCGGTGTATCGTTTATATCTGGGTGAGCTTTTAGAAAATTAATTTTCATATCTCTTTGAGCGACCTCGAAACTTTGCTTTAAAAGATTAATTAGGAAACCTCTCTCCCACTTATCTCGTTCTTTGTAGAACGTGAATCCTTAAATACTGGAGAAACGAGGATAGATTTAGATCGTAGAGGGGCATACTGGATCCTGTCGTGGTGTTTTTTTTATAAGCAAAATAAGAGAGGCTTTTATTGATAAGCAGCGCTACTCGCAACAGGACGTATGTCGCCAATAAATTTCCTCAAAATCCTCGGAAAATTGGCAATAAAACTTGACGTGGTCCTTGTGTTCGAAGCGAATTTATCTTATAGAAAAAAATCATGAATGTTTCATAAACAGAATTATCATAAGCATCGCGAACTCTCATTCGAAAAATTTTAATATCCGCGTTTTTACACCCGGCTTAATGAATCAGAAATCACAAAAAATCGAAGCGAGGAGTGTATTTTTCGGCCCTCCAATTAACTCAGGAGGTTAGGAAATTAAGTCTGACCCTTTACCATAATACGGGATCAAGTCAATAGTGCTGTTACCGACAGATGTCGCTTCATAACACACGCTATCGACACGCCTACCCGATGTTCTGAACAACAGAAAACGACAAAAGCAATATGTACTTACCGAAAACGTGCAGTCGTCTTTGTCTGGAACAAAACAAATAAATTACTGTTAGTTGAGAGATAATAGGAAAAAGATAAAACTCTAATCGGCTTAAATTTAACCTAAATTTCGCTGTAACTCGTTAGAGAATGGACTGAAGAAAAAGTAAACATGTTTCAGGAAATTATACGAGAAAGAAGCTTCACACGCCGAGAGAAAGGGGTTGCAATTATTGTAAAAAATGGGTTTCGACTTGGTGGTAAAAAGAGGGTTGGAAATTTTACAGGTCGGTTGGCTTTATAATGACCAATTAATTTTAAAAGCGCTGGTTGAATGCCCCGGAGAAAAATGGGTTTTTGTTTTGTGGAGAGTGAAAGAAATTAAATAAACTAAACAAAACTGTGGATTTGTGGCTAGATACAATTATATAGCTTTACATAAAACAAACAAATTTTTTCTTGTCATTTATCAGAATTTCAAATAAATAGGATTCTATGGGTTTCTGTGCAATTATCAAATTGATCAAAAATGAATTATCTGTTAGGAGTGACCGACATACTGGGTATTGATTCAAATATAATTGCTTAATTTAATCACAGTCACATGCACTAAAATAATTTAATCGGCAGCAGTGTGATGTAGGTTAAATAATATTTAAATATCCAACACGAAAGAGGTAAAAATCGTTCTGTGAAAAATATATGAAGAATATGCAGCATATAATTTCCAGTAATGTAAGTGTGAATTATTAGTTGTCAATAGTTAACTCTGCATTGATCTAAAGAAACATTTGCATCCACAATCATAAATAATTTAAATTCTAAATAAATGAGCTAAAATTTCTTATAACCTCTTTTTTCTACCTCCAAATTGATATACGAAAGTTACATATTTACCACCCATACTTTAAGAAGGTTCATTGAGATACAAGTTCCTAACAAGAATGCAGATTATGTCTTTCGCTTAAAGGTTGCATTGGAGAAATAAAAAATTTGTCAATCTGGCAGGTCGAATACTTTCACAATATTTGCCCTGATAAGTTGAAAAAAAAATTCCATAGTGAAAGTGATACTGAAAATTTAGCACCACCAGAAGCAATGGAAAGGGCCAACAAAACGTCAAATGATTTATTGCCGAAAAAATCCAGAAAGACTTTTGAAAAATTTTATGCTCCATTTATGGAATGGAGGAATAAAAATTTTGTTAACAATTTTTCCGAAGATGTTTTAATTATTTATTTTAAAGAGATATCTAAAACACTAAAATCTGGAAGTTTACACATTACTCAATTTTGAAATTTACGTTATCCACATATTAAACATAAAGAGGACTTAACCAAATATTTCAAATTAACGCCTTATTGAAAAGAAAATCTGAAAGATATGTAACCGAAAGAGGTAAAACCTTTTCTACAAATTAAAAAAAGAAGTTATTTGCGAATCCCTACATGCCAAATATATATTTATTATCTAAGATGACATCTTGAATGAAATTTTATCAACACCGTAGTTTTTAGCTTTAAGGGGAAGCTTAATTTAGTGCATTGCAAATAGGACCCATATGGCCGTGGCATCGCGTCGCAAACCTATATTGTTTTAAATTGCCACGTATATATTTGCAAACTGATAATAATCATTAAGTTGTTATTAGAGTGATATACAATTTAATACAGTTTTATTTCATTTTCAGCTGATAAAAAAAATAAAATTTAAAGACTTAGTAAAATTAAACATAAATATTGTTGAAACAGATCTCGTTGATTATAAAATAAAATTCAAATTTCACTTAACTTTAAATTTTTTATGTTTATAAATGGGAGTATTTTTTTATCAAGTGAAAATCAAATAAATTTCGATTTGTCTTACGCAATGTTGTAAAGTAATAATAAATCGTAATTTAACAAAATCCGTTAAAAAATATATGTTGTCATTAAAGGAAGTATAGGTTTGCGTCTTACCGGGGACGTATCTATAAACAAACCTACCTTCTATTTTTTAAAGCTTTTAAGGCCCTTTTACAGTTTTGTGTATTGAATTTCTGTAGACGCCACCTAGCAGAATGCGAATATCTACCCGGCCGAGAGTTGCAAAAGTCATCACATTATTCAAGCGCTGACTGGTCCGAAAACAAAATAAGGTCGAAACAAAAAGCCGCATTTCTCTCACTAGGCCGGTCACTGTTCTTAAGTTCTAATCATTTCTCAAAGTTTGACTTATTCTCGGCTGTGAGATGTAGTTTTTTTTTTTAGTTAACGATGATATTTCAAGTTCGCAATTAAACAAATTTATAAAAATGAAAGAAAATATGCAGTACAGTTCAATACACAACCGATTGCTAATCAACTATAGAAGGTGAAACATTTTCAAATTAAAAATTGCAAAATCTTTGCTAAGAGCATTTGACAGGTGTTTTTAACGGTAAAAGTCAACTAGAGTAAAAATTTTAAACATTTTTGTTGCTTGCTTTGATCACGCAGATGATATAGAAAATAGAGTAGAATACGAAGACTCTAAAAAGTTATTACAGTTGCAACAGGGATACTGGCAGAGATATTTCGGCTATATATATATATATATGGTTACTAGATTTTCTAATTTTACATTACGCTGGTATTTATGTCATTTAGCCCCCAAATAACAAAAAATACCAAATTTACTGCAGAGTACTTGACTTTGCCAATAGTGTTCTACATATGGGGCACATTTTATACACGTTTTTTAGATCAGATTAATTGCTACCGCCGCAGAATTACTAATAGATTCAAAACAAAATTTTACCTCTCACAATAAGATTGAATAGTAATGAAAAATATTTTTGCGAGAAAAATGCCCTGCCAATGGTGTCGAAAGACCACTTTATGTTTTTAAGTTAGTTTTGGGTGTAACTGTCGTAAATGTTCTATATTTTTAAAAGAATTGTAAGTTATGGTATTTTAAGTGTAATTCCCAGTTGCTGTTGAGGCAAGTAATAAAATGTTTGACTCTAGAATCATTAGAGACAACATACACTGTTAAACTCCCAACTAAAAAATCCCAACAGGAACAGTCCACTGCAAATTTACTACCAAAACGCACGTAGTTTAAAATATAAAGTCCACGAAGTGTATGTACGCATCCCTATCGGACAGCGAGTATGACCTAATATGTATTACCGAAACTTGGCTTGACGAAGCAGTTAACAGTGCGGAGCTTTTTCCCTCTACTTATCAAGTCTTTCGTGGAGATCGGAATCATGAACTGGTCGCACACGGGGAGGGGGAGTGCTGTTGGGTATTAAAAATGAACTTGTTGTTTCGCGAATTAATCTATCATCTCTATAGACATCTAACTTAATAGATTTAGTTGGACGCAAAATTTCTTTTCATCCTGAAGATCTTTATATTTTTGTAGTTTACATACCTCCAGACATTTCAGTAGGTGACTATGAACACTTTACAGATTCTTTTGGAAATTATATTCACAATTTTTCACTTGTTTTACTTATCGATGACTTCAATGCGCCTAACTTCGTTAGTTTGGTACAAGATTCGGAAAGCCAACATCTTCATAATATGGCGTCATTCTTAGTTTTAAGTAAGTTTAATCGTATTACTAACTCCAATAATGGCTGTTTAGATTTAATATTTAGTAACGTAAGCGACTGTATAGCACAACACGACGAGTAGTGTTGGGCAGTATCTAGATACTTGTATTTAAATACATTTTTGGGTATCTAGTATCTGTATCTAGATAAACTCGAATTTAAGGACAAAATATCTGTATTTAGATACAAAATTAATGGCGCAGATACCGATACATTTTTTTATTTTACTTTTTTTTCAGTAGTTATTAGTTGAGTTATACTAGTAGTAATTTTTGATACTTCATGTTGGTGATTTTGGTCACATAAATAAAAATAGAGGTAAGAGGTTCACTAATAGTGTTCTGCCACGGAAATTTTCATATTTTAAATACCATTATTTCCTACATTGTAGCCTTCAGTACTTATACATCTTTAAATATAATACTGAGGGATAATAAGTCTAAGCCATGGTAAGATGGTATTTTAAAAACCATAAACCACAATTCACTATTCACTGCGTTTTACGTTTATCGGGGCAATGCATTTTATCTGTATAACCTGAGCAACCCGGGTCCGGTAGGCCCGCTGGTTGTATTTGTGCTATTAAATAAGAGTAATTTCAATAGTGAAAATATTTGTTTAAGGTATGTTATTATTTTTAGGAAATAATCATTGCGTGTTACATAATGATTAATTTTTTCAGTTAGCACAAATTAGTTTTTTAATCGACTAATCGAGTGTTCAATATATACATTTCTCTCGCATAAATCGCATATTTGTTACTGTTTTATATCTTTGTTTTTCAGACAAATGTAGCATCTTTTCCTGTTGCCACATGTGTCATTCTTCAGTTTTTCATTGTTGGACCTAATGCGAGGAGGGCTTGGCAGGTCCGTTTTGGCCTAGAATGTGCCAATTATGTTTAAGTGTAAATCTTGGGCAATAAAATTAATATTTTTACAACCCTTGGTAGAATAATTTATCGTGATATATATTCTCAGAAATCGTGAAACGAGATTAAAATAAAATGAGTTTCAACACAAATCTGAAAATTTAAAGTTGCACTCTGGTGCTAGGCAGCCTTTGATCCTATAAGGGGTTTAAATACGTTTCTAAGAACTTGTACTTATTTCGCCTTAAACGGAACCAGCAATTCTTCCTAATATGTATATACCTGCCGCACCGCGATAGACGATTACCGGACATGGTCATAAAAACATCGTAAGCCGATATTGAAGAATAATAATTTATGACAGGTTGCCAACAACAGACCTTCAGCACAGAATAATCATTTCCCGTATTCTTTTGAAATATTAATTTTAATGCTGGAGGTTATTAGATATACCCAAACACAATTTGGACACTGTAGAATGGGAATAAAAACAAAAAAAATCTTCTTTTTAAGCGTACGTAATAAATATTGCACAATTTGCGACACATCAAACAGCGAAGCCATGGCATGGCGTAAGTATTTGCAGGAAAA